AGCCAACAAAATCAGTTTCGAAATTCCTCAAACTCGTCCAAACACTGAATTACTCACAAAAATACCGTAGTCAAAGTGCCAGGTGCCCATCATACGAATCAGCCGCGCTTCGGAGACATATGGGCGTATGGTAGATGACCAAGAGCCATTCCACAGCCACGACCCCAATCGGTCGTCGGCACAACTGGGCGAACATCTCGAGCTCGGCCTCGAGCCCCGGACGGCCAGCTCATGCTCCCGTCGCGCTTTTCGAGCGTGGCGCCCCGGCAGGTTTGCACAGTCCGGAACGGAGCGGGCTTTTCGGACCTTGAGAAGGGAATTATGGCGTGGATCAAGAGGGACTGAGTTTTAATATTCTTTTCATAAAATTACTATAGATTTTAAGTAAAAATTATTTAGGAATTAAAAAAGTTAATTTTTGATTCTTTCGCATTATCGGGGGATATTTTATGCCTATAAGTCGAAAAAACGTCCCATATTTAGCGTTTTAATAGAGTTTTTAGTAAAATTTAACTATATTTGGAGTGGAAAAACAGACTAAAAAATCTTAAAGTTTAAATTTTCATAAAATCGGCGATTTTTGGTCGAAAAACCGAGAGTTCTAATCTTTTAACATCCCTATCATTTTTTCGCTTAGCAAAAGCAAAAAAGAAATAGATAAATGGGTCTTTTATATAAAAAACTATAACCAGAATGATATTTATATAAAAACTATAACCAGAAAAATGCTTAAAAATTTAAAATTTAAATAAACACAGGGATTTTTTTGCGCTTATTTCTATTTTTTAACAAATTGTAAAATTTCTACGTTAAGAGGACTAGTAAAAAAGCTAGAAACACTTAGATATCAAAAGTAACTCCTAAGAACAAAGCACCCACCCCCCGATAATGCAAAAGCACCACAATTTCATAGCTACCAAAAACGTTAGATTTTCAAAAACCTTACGAGAGACGCCAAAATACACAAAACTCCCCCGTCAAAAATCACACCTCGACTTGGACGAGTTGACTGGTAGACGGTCGATGATCAAGACTGACCCATGCCACCTTCTTTTTCGAGGTCAACACCAATCCTCTACTTCTATCGACCGTATGAGCCTTTCTGAACTCGACCAATTGTCGCATCCGATCCAGGCGATCAGCCTCAAGCCGTTCGGCCTCTTTTTGTTTCCGCTCCCTCTCTCTCGCCGCCATTAGGGCAGCTTTTTTTTTTTTGGCGTGTAGCTGGGATAGGTATTGTTGATGGTTGTTGCTGAACTTTCGGCCGTTCGGTGTTTGATATTGTGTGGGGGATGATGGGGAGCCGATTGAGCCTCGTTTTAGGGCCAGGGTCGGGAAGAAGGCGCGCGGGGGCGCATATTGGGTTGGTTCGACACGGGCCGAGGCCATCGTCGTGTGGCTGGGTGTACGCGACAGTACGGCTTACGATGGTTCGGTTTTTCGGAGCGTCACGCAGTGTTCAAATCGTAGGGAGAGCAAAATACGGAATTCAGCCTAATGTGAGCTTTTCGAAGCGTACGCGACAATCTGGAAATAGACGCTTATCGTACTTTGGAGCGATACGTTAAGTTGGCTGAAGTACGCGACAATACGGTTTACAATCCTTTCGTACTTTGGAGCCTTGCGTAGTGTTAGAAACGTAAGACGCGGAAAATACAGAATAGAGTCAAAATGGGCAAGAATCCGTAAAAATCGAATTTCTTCCTTTTCGAAGCGTACGCGACAATCCGGTGTACCCTGCTATTGTCTTTTGGAGCGTTGCGTAGTGTGCGAATGGTAGCAAGTGAAAAATCCCGAATTCCGCCGAAATCAGCAAGAATTAATAAAAATCGGTTATAGTATAGAATTTCAAGCTTGTTCCGCAATCGATTACGCCCGGTAAATGGTAGCGGGGAGCTTGGAATGTGGCAGCGGGAGGGAAAGGAATTGCAGAGTAGCTGTCAGCGGGGTTGGATGAGTAACGGGTCTCTCAGGAGGTCGAGAAGGGTTTCCGGTGAAGGCTCTTAACAGTGGCCAGTAATATGGGCCCTAACCGGTGGACCCATGGGTCCTTGTGGCGACACATGACTCGGGGGCCCTTTTCCCCATTTCACAAGCATTTTTTCGGCTTTACCTACACTCCGCTTTGTGAGGTGGAAAGCACAGGGAGTAACTCGAACTGATGGCGGTGAGAGAGAGACAGAGAGAGAGAGAGAGGGAGACAGCGAGAGACATAGAGAGAGACAGCGAGAGAGATGGGCATAAACAAATATTTCTGCCAAAAGCCACGAACTGCCTGGGGGACCGGGGGGTTATGCTTTGCTGTCAGGTGGCAGGAGTACGATCTCGGAATCTGGTTTTTCTGGGTTACCCCCCGATACAAAAACCGGTGCTCACCCCCCGTTCAGCCGGTTGATTGACAAATGGCTGGCTGGTTGCCAACTCGGTCTAGCTTACAAACTATAAAAATTCTTCATTAGTCTTCAACGGCCCTTTAAAGGAACTGGAAAAGCATTTCTATAGATATTTTGGTTCTCACCGGGTTTTACCGCGATACGCGACGCGCCTGACCACCAAAAATGACCCCAATCGACAACCAAAAATTCCGGTTCTTGTGCATTATCGAGGGGGAGGCCATTTTTTTCCTTACAAGCCAATTCTTCTAAAATTAATACAAGTAATATTAAACTGCTTTTTACTATTCCTAGACGCAAAAATTTACAATTTAAAAAATATAAACAATTTCGATTTTTCGAAAACAATGGCCGACTTTCGATCAAAATTTCGAATTTTTAAGTTTTTGATAGAGTTTCCACTTTAAATATAGTTAAATTTTAGTACAACCTATTATAATATTTACTATTAATAGTTTCTGGGAATTTCTGGATTGACCTAAAAATCGTCCCCGATAATGCCAAAGCGCCAAAAATCCATAGCCCTGCCTTGCCCAGTCCTTTAAAAGGGGCCCCCAAGCCCGAATTTTCAGCCCCATTTTGGATACAGCGCACTACCTTAACCGCTAAATTCCGCAACATTCCACCCGACACCGTCATGCTCCCTTATGCTTTGAACCCTTGGCGAAGATGAGGTTCAGTGATCGGACTGCTCGCACAACATGATCATACAGCACCCCGGTTCGAACTTTTTCGCCCTCAACAGGGTCGAATTTCCTGCTCGCTCAGCTGCAACACGCTCCTATTGACGGTGAGGAATGGAGAGGGAGAGGCGTTGAAAAGTTGAAAAGTTCAACCATCAGTTTTGAAGGCCGGGGGTACTAGCCGAGATCTTTGAGTGAAATCCTGGCTACAGCAGACTTTTCTAGCCCTTTAAAGGTGTCTCTACAGATACGCTGTGTCGAAAATCAGCGCTTGTGCATTATCGGGGGGGGGGGGTAATTTTTTTAGAACAAGTCCAGAACTATCTAGTAACGTACGTCTTTTAATCGTTTCTAGAAAAATGTCGAAAAATGTCGAAAAAGCCTTAAAGTGAAAAAGCTATTTTGTCGAAAAATCGTTATTATTATATTTTTAGCGTAAATTTGCAACGTTTTTATGTTTCAGAACAGCAAAAATAGTGTCTAAGCACTTGCCCGACTTCTATGCGAAAAACCGGAATTTTAGAAATATGTCCCCCCCATTACTGCCAAAGCTCAAAAAAATCTGCTGCCGTGCCTTGACTATCCCTTTAAAAGAAGATTTTGTGATTTCGCAACCACACTCTTGTTATTCTATTGAGGTTGATCAGCTGGGGTGGTACTCGGCCCAGGAATGTGCCCCCGAGGCCATCAATCAATCCATAGGGGAAAAAAAGGAACATTTGGTCACAGCGCCCAATCACCCCAATCACAGCGACTCGGTGAATGGCTATGGCTGCTTGAAATTAAGGGGATCGTGCCAGGACCCCAAATTTACAAAAAAAAACATAAAACCTAGAGCAGCTAGTTGTAGTACGTCGCTAAAAGTTGGCTGGCCAGTAGCAGGCACTCGCCAACGCGCGGAGTCGAGCCTGAGGGCGGAAGCGCCAATTTACGGGGGAGACAGAGAGGAGAGAGAGAGAGAGAGCCAGGGAAAGTGAAATTTTGAGTGCCGCGCAGTAAGTAGGGCAGGCTTTTCTTACTCAACGCTAAACATCAACAATCAGCTTACATCACGTACGCGTTGCTACGCTACGTATACGCCTATGTACGCAGAAAGAGACTGGATAAAATTTTGAGACGCAGACTAGGTAGGTACCTACGGACGAACGTACGACCTAAGCGTGAGCGTCAATGCGATCAGACAAAGCCGGAAATCAGCGTAAAATCATCGTGAAAATGGTTCGAAGTGTTGAAGCGTTGACGCGTCAGTGGGATAGGAGAAGGAGGATTGGATGGGGGGGGGGAAGAGGGCCCTCACTCCGATAACGATATGCAAATATTGAAGTGCCGGGGGTGGATGGGAATGTTGGAACGGATGTTACGAATTATACTATCGACGAATGGTAACCGCAGCAAAATTACGGAAAAGAGTAGAGAACGTAGAAAAGGAAGTAAATACGCCCCAAAAAGAGAAAAACGACAAAGCAAACCTGCAAATCGCGTTGCATCAGCTGGATTCGTTTCGAGACCCGCGTCGGCTTCATCACTAAAAAAGCATCAAACCCGATTGTTTTTAACGTTCATACCATTTTCATAGTCTCCCTGCTCGGCGGCGCTATCCGGACTTCCGCCTCCGATTTGTGTCTGTGGTGGGGTGTTGACATAAACCACATCTTCAACGATTGAGGCCTAAAACAACATTGATCATCAACTGAAAGATCGACTACCCGTTGATCAGCAATAACAGTTTTCGGCACCGCCCGTCCGTTTTCCTTTCCGGCGGCCGCCGTCCGGTTGGCGCTGATCTTTTCCGCGTACTCGGCGGCTCTCTGGAAAAACGAGCTTAAGAAAACCGCAGAATTAGGTCGCTAAAACCATGGAAATGTGCTAAATTGAGGAACCAAAAAATATGCTAAATATGTAGATATATTTCATAAAAACACACCTGTTGCTGTCGATTCTGCAGCAATTCAACCCGTCTAAGCATCTGCTCGGCATTCCCGTTCATCACCATGTAGTCGGACGTTGATTCTGGAACCACGGAGCCGGATGGGAGACGGCCTAAAATCCGAGAATTTTTTATTTCAAGTTTTATCAAATTTTTAAGGGGTTCAGGCTGGTCTGCTAGTGAAATATAGTGATTAACTATATTCGAACCCAAAAAACTTTGCGAAAGTTAGAAAAAACGTTTCAAAAAATTGACTTTTTGGTTTTTGCGTCGTAAAAATCAAATTTTGACTTCAAAATAATTTTTTTGCGATTTGTAACGTTCTTGGACGTGTAACGTTTCACGCTTCTTTTCTAACCTAAAAACCAACCATTAGACCCATTTTGCGTTACATCGGGCGGTACGACCCGTGATGATGGGCGAGAGCCTTTCACTTCCACGTATTCACCTGAAAGTGGATTGTTTGGTACTGGGCTGTTAGCGGGGGGGGGGAGGGTTTAGCAAGCGGAAACTGGTTTTCGACGGAAGATGTATTTTTTCGATTGCTAGAAAGCCATAAAAACACTTTAAAAACCCTGAAATCGTGATTTTGCTATTTTTGGTCACTTTTCAAAAATTTTTATGCTTTTTATCCGTTTTTTATTCCTAAAAACTGTGGAAATTGCTATAAATATGGTTAATATTTCTTTATAGAGAATTGATGGAAAAATAACCCCCACCGCTAACAGTCGAGTACCGAGAGTTTTAACCATATTAATAGATAAGTTTAGAATGTATTCAAAATTCATACCCGGATCGTGAGCATGCTTCTGATGAGCCTTCTTCTGGAGCAGCTCTTTGTGAAGGGCTCGACCTCTACCAGTACTCCCGAAAAGCGAATCCTCGTCATCCGATGAGCTGTCTAAAAACAGATAATTTTGCAACGAAAATCAAGATTTTCCCCTTTTGAAGTTTCGACCACCGTCACGGTCTCCCCTAAAATCTGCCCCGGCTTACAGTATCCCGAGTATCGCATGGCAATCTGGTACAAAGTGGTGTTGGGCTTGGCGGCCGTCTGCACCGGCGGCCGCCTCATCTGCACCACGTGAGGGTCGGCCATTCTGAGGGTGGAGGACGATAGAATAAAAGAGAGAGAGAGAGAGAGAGAGATACGGAAAAATCCTGAGAAAAGTATTAAAAAAATATCTCAAGATTATTACAATTAGTAAAAAGATGCTCGTGGCATCAATTTAGACAGAGAGAGAGAGAGGAAGACAGAGAGAGTGAGTGAGAGAGAGTGAGCGAGAGAGAACGAGAGGGAGAGATAGAGAGATAGAGATGGAGAAAGACAGGGAGAGAGAGGGAGAGAGAGAGAAAGAGTGAAGTTAGGAATTACGGGCTTCCTAGGTCCAAAGATAGCTCCGGGTCCAATCCGCAAAACAAGTGCTCCGGGCGGGGGTCGAACCCGCATCCTACGGCTTTAGTCCGATGCTCTACCATTGAGCTACCGGGGCACGCGGAATGCCTCTCTCAGGGCAGCTATCCATGCCAGCCCAACCGTGAGATTGATATAAAAATTAAAATTGAAAACCTTAAGCTATTTCCCAACTCTCTAGCATTACACCACAAGAAGCCTAATGGCTTCGACCGCTGAAAAATGGGCAAAAGTCGACGCTGTGGAGAGGGCAAAAAATATAATGGGGGAGAGGGGTGGTGGCAGTGTTTTTAATGGGGGCCTGAGGCACTTATAGGCCGAAGGAAACACGATACAAACGGAGCACCGCCATCATGGGGGGAGACATGAAAAGCCATGGTGGGAGGCTGGCAGGGAGTATTGGTGAAATTGACGATCGGAATTCCGCTTATGGTCCGGTCGAGTCCAGCTTGGCTTAGCTTTTAAACGGGCTTAGATATTAAGACGTAGCTTGAAGCGTCTTGTAGTCAAAACTTAAGGCAGACAGGCAGCTGAACTACTAGAAAATAGAATAGAATACAATACTAGAAAATACTAGAATAGAATAGACTTTACTAAAAAAATCCACGAAAAATTCAGTACGAAAAATAACAAAGGGATGAAATATGTCGCGTCGAGTAGAGAAAAAGAGAGCGACAGATAGACAGAGGGAGACAGAGAGAAAAGGAGGAGAGCGAGAGAGCGAGAGAGAGAGAGAGAGAGAGAGAGAGATTAAGAGAGAGCGAGAGAGTGAGAGAGTGAGAGAGCGAGAGAGAGAGAGCGAGAGAGAGTACTTTGGATGGAAGGGCATAAATGGGGGAGCAGCCATATGGCTGTGATGTGTCCACGTGAGGGGTTGTCGAGGTAGAAAGTGCCGCACAAAACCTGTCCCTTTCCATTATTTTATTCCAGTCGGCGAGGGGTAAAATTCTTTTGAGTTTTTGGTGTGTAAGTAGTTGTAGGTGTGTAGTTTTGAAAGGAAAAAGGGAAAAGGCACCTAAAAAATGCCCTTAGCTTTTACCCAAAGACCCAAAACCAGTCAAATAGCATTTCTATCTATTAATTTCTATTTTTTTTCTAGATGTAAATAAATAAAGTTAAGCAGTATATAAATAAACTAAAATTAGATCTGTTTTTAACTACCGGAATTGTAACGAAATATTTTAAGCTAAAAAATACAGAAAAGAACGTTGAAATTACAAAGTAGAGTCGATTTCCAAAAGCCTGAGAATTATACCCGCGGCCGTGTAGGTCAAGTGCCCCGGTTTTGCTAGAAGTGAGAGAGAGAGATAGAGAGAGAGAGAGAGAGAGAGAGAGAGAGAGAGAGAGAGAGAGAGAGAGAGAGAGAGAGAGAGAGAGAGAGGTAAGGAGGGGTGGGTATTGGAGCAGAATGTAGGCGTCAGCAAGTTCCATATGTCAAAAAAGGCAAAGAACAAAAAAAGAAGAATTTGCATAATTTTTGGGTGCTTTTTTATCTATAAAAACCGTCTAAAATGCTATAAAAAAATGGGTTATTTTGCTTTATAATGCCTTGCGGGATCAATGGCAAAAATCCGCTTCCCCCCTGCTAACAGTTTAGTTCCAAAGAATCCATAGTCATTTAGAAAGATACAAATATATCGATTGTTCGCAAAATGGTCGATTTTGACCAAAATTTTGGATGTAAAATTTCGAATTTTAGATAGTTTCCCCTTGAAAAAAAGTTCAATGTTTCCAAAAATCGGTATTACTCATTATTACATTGATATGCCTTTCTACTTATTTATAACAAAATTCCCCCCCCGATAATACACAAGCTCCAAAAAATCTATAGTCATAGTTTAAAGCTGCTCAAAAGCCAGGAAGCTTATGAAAAGCCCAATTTAACGCAAGAATTCGCGGAATGCAGGTGAGAGTCGTAGAAAAAATAAATCCCTCCGTAGCCAGAGCAGCGTGATTGCCATCAAAATGGGGGGAATCGATGTATTGGAAGGGATGGGGGGGATGAAATTGAGAGGGTAGAGCGGAAGGGGGGAGACATATGCGATCCACATATAATCCTCTCTCTCAAATCACCCATCCCCCTGCACAATGGCAGATGGATGGAGGGATCGTGAGGGAAGCGAGGCTTTTAACGTTATTATACCCGTACTATGGATATTAAATAGAGGGGACGAAACGAGCCAAAATATGTATATTGTCAAAAGCCACTCGGCTGCCCATTTTCCTATTTCTCTCGCGGCTTAACCCAGATTTCCCGGCGTGAAGATTTGCATAATTTGTGGTGGGGTGGTCGGGTTTTTTGGGGCTCGCAACAACCTCGAAAAATGGGTTTTAAGCAGGGGGGAGGCGAAAATCCCGACGAAAATGCAAAATAGTTATTTAATGGACAGCTTGAAAGGAAGAGCTGTCGGGATTTAAGCTGTCGGTATTCAGACTCTCGGAATTTTTGCTTGTCGGGCTTTTCGCAATCGAGATTTTTTGACTGTCGGGATTGTGGAGTTTCGGGATTTAGCTGTCAAGACTTTGGCTTTCGGTATTTTCGTTCGGGATTTTAGCCTGTCGAAATTTGGTCGGTCGGGATTTCGATCTGCCGGGATTTCGGCCTGTCGGGATTATGGTTTTGGGAAAAATGTCGGGAATTCGTTAAATGGCTAGTCAAGTAAAAATGAAAATTCGAACGAAAAATGCAACGGGCGCACAGAAAAAAGTGTAAGGAGTAGCGCCTGGGCCTCGGCGAATACAGGATACCCAAACCTTCACTGTTTCGATTTTGGCAAGCTAAAAGGCTTGAAAAAATTTCCAAAAATGGATACTACATATTTTAAAAAATTACAGCAATATAGGTATTCAAAAGTTATCATAAATAAGGCAAAAAGTAATTAGGAATACTTCAAGCCGACAGTTAGCGATCGATTGCCTGCAGAAGTATCTTTGAGAGTCGGCAGTGTGGGTATATGCTGGGAGAGCCATGTGGGCCAAGTGCCTCTGGGTCCCTCCTTCCTTTCCGTCACACAACAAATCGCATAATTACCCAACACTCGGCTGGACCTGGGGGAGAGCCTCTAGGGGGAGTGGGCAACTGTCAGCTTGAACACTCACACTCACACTCCTGCTCTGCACACACACCGTTTTTTGCGTTACGAAACAATCGACGGGTTTCGGGAGTGAAAGGTGCAAATTATCAAATTTAATTTTTAAGTTTTTATTTGGGTTAAAATTTAATAAATCAAAAACGGAGAGATAAAGAGAGAACGAGAGAGAAAGAGAGAGAGAGAGAGAGAGAGAGAGAGAGAGAGAGAGAGAGAGAGATAAACGGAAAGAAATTCAGAGCTTCTATAATTTTTTCGAATTAACAAAATTTCCTTTTCGAAAACGAAAATCCGGGTTCTTTCGCATTATCGGGGGGAAGGGTTTAAGGTTTTCCTTTAAAGCCAATTTTTCCAATATAATTAGAGAAAGTGTTTCTAAAACGTTTTCTACTTTTCTTGAGCGTGAGATCTTTACAAATTACGAAGTAAAACGTCACAGAAATTGGCTGTGCCAAAAAAATTAAACGCGAAAAATATACATTTTAAAGGTACGAAACATTACGCGTAACGGTGGAATCTCTTGGAAAATGGGTAATGGAAAGGCCAGATTTATCCAATAAACTAAAAAAATCAAGCAACGCCTAAAAAAACGAAAAATCCTAAAAATCTACATTTTTTCAAGTACGAAACATGACTCTTAACGCTCGAATAAATTAAAAACGCCGCGAAACCTAAAATCTACGTTTTTCAATTACGAAACGTTACTCGGCCCACCCGAAACTGTCGCCGCACAAAAAAAGCGGGGGTATAAATCTCTTGTTAGCGCCGACAGGGCGGGCCGGGGGACGGGTGGCACGCCTGAGAAAAAAAGAAGTTGGAAATGGACAGGTGGATGGGGGGGGGGCGGCTACCCCAAGGTTACGCCCAAATTAGGCTCAAAAAATGGGGGCTACTCCGGCCAGGACGATTCAGCAAAACTTGCCACAACACTGGCATACAAAAAAACTATGAGAATGACTATTTTCATAAAAAATTAGAACCAATGAAGCTAGTTTTGGAGCTTTGGCATTATCGGGGGGGGGGGGGGGGGGCTTTTCCTAGGAGCCGATTTTCATAAGATAAGTAGAAAAAGTATTTCTAAAGCGTTTTTGCTATTCCTGAACGTACAAACTATTCAAAATTTATTGATTATTTATTACAACCTACAAAAAACATCGCATTTTCGAAGTTTTAAAAGTTTTTGGATAGGGTTCTACCTTAATAATTTTACATTTTATTAAAAACACTTTTAAAACACTTACGATTACGATCCTAGGCATTTATTGTTTTTTCTGATTTAGGAAACCTCCCCCCGAAGTTGCCAAAGAACCGGATAATGAAAACAATCACTCGAAATAGAGGTTTTATAGAACTGAAGAAGAGTGCTGCAGCAGAAGCAAAATGCTGCAGCTATAAGATAACTACTACACAAAATTATAATTCTGGAATTTTTCTGGATTTTTCAGGTAGCAAAACCACCGGAAAGATTTAGCAACAATATGAGTCAACCGGGCAAATAACTCGAATCGCTACGCGTGTCACGTTTTACAGAAAAAAAAAACTCGCGACAAGTGATTCAGTGGGCCCAGCCTCAAAATCCCCCAAAATGCAATCCCC